GCCGGGTGCCTTTCTCCTAAGCATTCAGCAGGGATTGATCCATTGAGGACTGTACTTGCTCCACTCCAAATAACTCTGCCGATGAGCTGCTTCCATGAATGAAAAATGCATGTGCCAGTAAACTGGAGGAGAAAGAATCCATCTGGTGTCAGCACTCCTTTTTCTTGCCCTCTTCCATGAGTTTCATTAACAGCCATATCGCCTCTGATAAAGTTAACACCACCACTTCTCCAATTGCTCCTGACACTTCCCTGTTGCTTTGATGATGGATCGCTGCAGAAACGCCAGCCCCAGGTGGGCAGGGAGGGATAAAGTCACCTCTTCAGGCTATTTCTGGAATAAAACATAGAGCTACAGAGCTCATGCAAGGGAATGGCCCCAAGCTATGGGGAAGCTGGGGACAGGGGTGTCCCATGAGCCCTGTGAGGTATCAGAGCTGGATGCAGATGCTGCTTCCTCTGAACGAGGCAGTGCATGGATGAAAGGAGGGGTGAGAAACAGGTGACCCTGCTCAGACAATCCCAGTCCCAGCTTTCCCCATCATCCAACTGCATCTTTCAGCCCTTCTCCAGACCAGGAGCTGGGGAAACCCATTGGGATCCAGCGCCCTCTCCCTGGGGTGCTGGCACTCAGCCCATCTGCATCCCCACAGGAAGGGACTCCATGGTCCGAAGGATGCGGAGGGACCTGGTGCTCAGCTCCCACTCACACCTCAGATGATTTCAGCCCTCCCATGGACAAGGCGAGGGTGGTTCCAGCAGCCAGATCTACTCAGCATCACCTTGGGATGCCTGGAGGAAGCCAGGTGGGGTAGTGACAATGCCAGTGCCCTCCACCTCTGCATGAGTCCCATCCATCCCCATGCAATGTCCCTGCATGGCCAGCAATCAGATGCACGGCTTGCAACACACCCGAGCACACAGCAAAGAGGCAACAGCTGCTTCCCACTGGCCCAGATCAAGGGTTTTAATTAAGGAGAAGATTTAGGGGAATAAAGGGTAAGATCCTTCCAAAAGCTGTAATTAAGGGCAAGAAGGGTGAGGCGGGGTGATGAGGAAGAGCACATCCTGCAACCAATGGGGCTCAGCTCAGGAAGGCAGCGCAAGGGGAATAGAGAGCATCACCATGTCCCCATGGCAGAGCCCTGGGAGCCAACAGCACCTCCTGGCTTATCCCTGGCTCCCTATATTGCATCCAACAACACTGCCCATGGTTCCACCTGAGCCCATGTCCCCGTGCAGCACCAGCCAGTATCGATTCAGGTGAGGCATGATAGCAATTATGAGCCCTGCAAGGGGGAGGAGGCAAAAAGCATCCCTGCAGATCCCATTCCAAGGGCTGGGAGCAGCTACACATGAGCTAAACCCCTGCTGCCACCAGTATGGGCTCACCAGGCCTGATTCCCATTGCACGGTCGTATAATGGGGAACCCTCAAGCTCATTCAACAGCTCCTCATTGCCAGCACTGAGCAGGACCTGTTGCAGGGAGTGATATTCTGCAGGGCCCCTGCAGCGGGTCGAGATGACCTGGGAGGTAATGGATTGCCTTGCTAAGCTGGAGCAGGGATGTTTGGAGACGCCACCCACACAACGCACACTCCATGGAATCTGGGGCAGCTTCAGACCCAAACCGGAGTTCTTGTCTGGAACCTCGGGGTTTGTTCATCATATTTCAGCTGCCATAAGAAGAAAAGGAGCAGGCATCAGCAGCCCGAAGAGGGGAATGACGCCAAGGAAAACACAACTGATATCAAGGTAACTGCTTAGGCTCATCAAGGTTCCCGTCTCCTTCACTCCAAGCTGCTCCGAGATGTAAATCAAGTGCAAAAGCCACCCTGGCTGCTCCCCATCCCCGTGCCCACGTGCCTGCAGCTCTCTCCGGAGCCGGGAAACAAACAGCTTGTTCCAGCACCACTTGGTATTTCAGGAAAGGTTAACGCAGCGTGTGAGGGGCCGAAGCATCGCTCATGCGCACGGGGAGCCTCCAGGACCAGGGCTCTCTCTATAAGGGGTGACCTCCTCAGCCCCCCCAACCAAGAGCCTTTGCTTCAAGCTTTGGTGTTTTCAGGCTTTGCATTGCTAAAGCTTCCTTCTCCCATTCCCCTGGCTCCCCAGCAGCATTCCCACCTCTGAGAAACCAATGGGAATGTCAAGCTGAGAGGGCCGCGTGCACTGGGTAAAGCCAGGAGGTTCCCCCCTGCTTTGGGGCTCCTGTTGAAGCCCACTTTGCCAGCACCCCATCCGTGGGGAGTTGTGGGTGCAAATCCTAAGGGAACGCAGCAGCAAAGCAGCTACACGTGGACCGGTCCCATCCTTGCTCCATAAATACGCACACACTGGGGATGGATTCACAAACCAGGCTGCTGGGAGAGCCAGGAAAGATGCTTTATCCATGTCAGTGGTGATTCTCGCATCCAGGGATGAGCAATGAAAACCCATTGGATAAACCAGAGCTTGAGCTCTCCTCACCCCAGACCAAGCCACCTCCCTGTCTGTGTGGGCAGAAGACATCCCACCTGTGGAGATGCAGCTCACCATAGGCGGCAACGACCTCCTCCACCCAAGCGCATCTCACTTAACCCCATCCCCTTCTGATGGGGCTGCATTAGGCACCATGTGAAATGATTTATAACGCCTCTGCCTGGGCCTGGAGAGGCTGATTCCGTGTTCCTGAGGTCTCATTGGTATTCTGCAGCTTCAGCTCGTTAGCACTTAGGTGCTACAAGAGCGAGCCCGGTGGAAGTTTCTGGTCCAGACAGATATTAGGGGAAGGATTGAACACATCCCCTATGAGCCAATGAGCCTGAACTCGCTGCTTTACGCTATCGATCCCACAAGTGCCCACTGAACCCGACAAATAAACCCCAAACCCGCCCCACAGGCGGCCCCCTGCAGAGGAAAGAGGGAAAAGAAAGGGAACCAAACAACCCGCAGCCCCAGAAAGCCGCTTGCATCATCACACCCCCTGCTAACGCTCTTAACCAGCCCTCCTCCACAAAGAGCTCTTCAGGAACGGCTTGAGCTCCGGCTCGGCAGCTCCTGCAGAGACACAGCAAAGGGCAGGTAGGGACCAGTACGTGCACCCACAGTGTACTGGGGGAGTGCATGGGACTGGTCCCGTTGCGTGCCGCTCCTTCACGGGTAGGGAATGGTGTTTTAAATGCAGCCCTGCTGTCCTTTCACACGCTGGATGCTCTGAGTTTCCCCTTCTCTGCAGGGAGAGCCGAGTCCTCCTCACCCAAACCTATGGGCACCTCGTGATGGGAAGTAACTGGGAACAAAACCCCTCTTTTTGCCCGTTTTTTGAGACAAACGGGAAGGATAAAACCCCACTATTTCTCCTAATAAGGGAGCTCAAAGTGATGGATTTTGTGCTTCTCGCGGAGTTCTTCCCCCGAGGGCACTGATGCATCTTTCATGGGGCTCCATGGAGCTGTTAAGCCGCTAATTGAAACACAGACCCCTCCCATCCCCGCACCACACACGGGTCCCCTCGGTCCCATTTGCGGGCACAGACACCGAGCCCCAGTGCTTTGAGGGACCGGTATCCCCGGCCTGGTCCCGGCAACGGGGAGCGCTTAGGGCGCTGCTTCCCCCTCGCGGCCGCGCACGGCCCCTGCGGCCCCCGGATGGGGGGGTCCCGCTACCCCCGGCCCCAGCAGCGCTGCTCTGGGTTTCCCCAATTGAGGACCAGTGTTAGCCCATGGTACAAGGCGCAAGCAGGGCATCGCGCCCAAAGTGGGATGCTCAGAGCAGCCCCTGATGCTCAAACAGCAACAAGAGCCAAGAAGTGTGGTTGAGGGTGAAGTTTATTGGAAACGGGTTGGGGGGGTGTTCCAGGGGTACAGATTGCCCTTAGAAATACAAGGGTAGAGGGAATGCTGATGGGAGCTGAAATCATTGTCCACCTTAAAGATAAGATGGGGGGGACCAAGGCTGTTGATCCTGGGACATGAAAATAAAGAGACGGAAAAGCCCCATGTAGAGTGAAGCAACACAGGGATTGCCTCTTCAGCAAAGCCTTGCTTCAACCACAGGGGCCCAAAGTCCACCCCAGAGGCATGGAAAGGGCAGATGCTCCCTTTCCCCATAATACAGGAATGGGGATTTTCCTCCAGTGGGAGAAAACCAAATTGCCCTTCCCCACAGGACCAAAAAGAGGCAGATAAAGAAAAGGGGATGAAACAAGGAGAGAAAGAAGGGAAAATGCTAAACATCAAAACAAGAAACAATCCAAAGTAACCAACTATGCAATAAAAGTACAATTGTCCATCAAAGCTGTCAAACCGAGCGGGTAAGGATGCTCCCATAGAGCAAGGGGTGGTTTGCAGAGCAAGACTGAGGAGGGGGACATGGAGAACATCAATCACCTTATTTTACATAGATTGGTGGTGGTGGAGGTCAGGGTTGCATCAAAGCTGAACTGGGTTTGTCCCCCTCAGCCCAGGCTGGGTCTCTCAGGGTTTATATTGACACAGGGAAGGTGATCATAGTGATGGAGAGGACAAGCATCAGCACTGGGACCGGACAATCTGAAAACCATGGGCCCTGAAGCATCATCCCCAGGATGAGATGGTTCCAAGCAGCCCTGATTCCCAGGCAGAGCATCCCCAGTGCTGCTTCAAGCCCTGTTTGGAGTGGGGAGCAATGAAGCTAAGGGGACATCATTCATCCCTTGGCAGGGGGGACCCTGAATGCTGGAAATGCACCCTGAAATCCACACCTCCAGGGTAGGAATTTCAGGACAAAAGAAGTTAAATTCAGTTAAAAAATAGATGCATTTCTTTGCTATAAAAAGGAGAGGAAAAAAAAAACCTCTTAGGCCAGGGTGGTTTTTAATGCCCCCTTCCCCACCACCCCAAACGTAGGCAGAAAAACGCTAGCCCTTTCACCAAATCTGCTGGCCACAGAGACAGTCACACATTCATCATCGATTTAAAAATATATAATATTATATATATTGCACACACACAAATATATATTAGAAAAGAGGAGAAAAATCCCTCTGAAAACTCAAATCCATTAAAAAAAGAAGACCCCCAACAAGATCCACAGCCGGCGCGTTTGTCCCGTGGTGCGCGTACAGTAGGAGCCAGGCATCCCTTTGGCTCCCGTAGCTCCTCGCAGAGCGTGCTCAGGCTGGGAACGTGGGGAAGCACATCAGGTTTTCACAGTGGATTTGTTAGTGGAGAAGGAACTGCTCCTCCCTTCTCCCACGCAGAAGGGCTTTAATTTATAGCAAGTTAGATTAAAACTAGGAAGCACATTACAAAGTCCATTATATATAGACATCAAATGTACAACCGGCGGCAGCCCCCATGTGAGTCACTGGGCTTTCGGGCTTGGCTGACACCTTGGTGGGCAGCTGGAGGGTTCAAAGGCAGTTTGGGACATGAGGGGTGCAAGGAGAGCCTCTAAACCAAGCTGGTGTCACAGTGCGAGGTCTTACGGGAGCTCCAGGTTGGAGAGGAGATGGAGCAAGGTCTTCTTCAGGAGCCAGGGAGGGCAGAAGGTGTTGGATGCCTGCAGTGGGGATGCATCCTCTCAACCCAGGGATGGAGGGGAGAGAGGCAGCACCCAGGGACCTGCTTGTCTCCATCTCCTTGTGCCTGGGCAGGGATGGGAGCGCTGGGTGAAGTCCTGTGGGGAGAGCTTGCAGCGAGGCGGGCTCAAGGAAGGATGCATTATGGTTTTGTCACCCCAAGGGAGCAGGGTATTGATAGATGGAGGGGGATGCCCAGTCTGGTGCTACCTTGAAGGGTTGTGAAGGCATCAAGCCAGGCATTACAACAGCCTCTGGTGTGAAAGGCATGGCCAAGGAGCCCCACAGCCCCCTTTGAGGTGTGTAGGCTCCTGGGGGCAGAGAGCCAGGCATAAAGGGAAGGCGAGCAAGACCAGACTGCAGGGAAGGGGCTTTGGGCAGGCAGAAGGAGAAGAGTGGGGCAAGCACAGCAGCGTTTTCTCTCTCTGCCTTCCCCAGGCAGAGAAACATAAGGAAACATAAACCCCCTGTGCTGGAAGGGGAGATGCCCAGGAGGGATACGCTGGTGGCAGCAGGGAACTCCCGAGCCTTCGGTCTCCGTGGCTTAGTTGGGAAGGTGTTGGCTTCAAAAGGCTCATCCCGGGGGATTTCGTTTACAGGGCAAAGAGAAAAGAGACTGCAAGGCCAGATGGGGCCAGAGATGCCCACGGGCTGGGGAAGTGCGATGTGTGCAAACCACCATTAACTGGAGTCCTCATGTGCTCTTCTACAGGGAAGCCAGGATGGAGGGGACTGCACGGAGCCGTGAGGTTGGAGTTAGGAGTCTTCCCCGAGAATCTCTGTCACGAAGGAGGCCATGTCAGTCTCTTTGGTGTCGTGCAAGGTAAAGAAAGGGTGTTCCTGCCAACGAGACCAAAGACAACATCAACTGATGCCCAAGGAGAGTCCCTGCGGGGTGTCACACAGATGGGAGGTGCTGGGAGAAGTAGGCACCAGCTTCCTCCCCAGGCTCCCATAGACACCAAGATGAACTCAAGCATTTCTAGGTTCAACCCCAGCAGGACACCCCCTACCTTTGCAGCTGTACTACCATCACTTGAGTTCTTAACAAGAGCAGATAGGTCAGAGGAAGAAAACACCTAGAAACCCTAACCTTACCCATGCAATCAACACACCCATCCCACTCCATGCCTGAAAAATGACCCACACCTCCCATGGTCCCATTTCCCCAGGACCTGCTGGACCATTCATTTCATTTTGGAAGTGTGCAGGGATAAAGACCAGGAGAAACGGCTCCACACTTACCATGAGTTCTAAATAGTTCATTCGCTCAGCAGGGTTCTTCCTCAAGCTGAAAGGAAAAGAAGGGGAGAGAAAGGCTGTAGGAGCTCTCTTTTGGCTGGATGTGGGCATCTCCCTGCCATCTCCATGTGGGCATCTCCCTGCCATCTCCATGTGGGCATCTCCCTGCCATCTCCATGCCATCACAGGGCATCTCCCCTTCCCAACCAGCGTGACATTCTTTCCATGGGCAGCACCCATTCCTCTCCCTCCTTGCCCAAGCAGGTTTGTCCCACCAGCAAAGCAGCCAAGCACGTAACTGGGAAAGGACAACTCACAGTGCTCTGCCACAAATGGGGCGGAGAGGAGATGGGTTCCCACCACCCATAGGGTGAGCCTTGCCTTGGTGGGCTCACCTCTGCCTGGCAGCAGTGGAACACCCCGAGGGGGGGGCAGATACCCACAAAACCACAGATCAGCTTCCCCCAGAGGCACCCAGACCCTACCAGGGCTCTGTTCTCATTTCATCGCTGCTTTGCCAGCAACCACCAACACTTCAGCAGCAGCAAAAGGGGAAGAGAAACCTCTGCACCTTCCAACCAGCCTGGGTGAGTCAGGCCAAGAGCAAAACCAGTTTGAGCAGCGCTTCCTGCCATGGCCAAGCACAAGCCCCCATAGGATGAGGTGATGCTCTGAAAGGACAAACCCAGCCCCAACCCCTCATGGCTCAGGCCTGGGAGAAGCCACCAGTCCCTGCCAGAGACTCACCACTGCGCTGTGAAGTCCACAAACTCCTTGGAGAAGCGATCAGCAGGGAGCTGGGGCGAGGGCTCCTCCACCACTTGCTTGAGCTGTTGGAAGGGAGTCCCCCAGGACTCGTATGGGAAGCGAAGAATGGCCAGCTCGATCTGAGGATGGAGACAGGCTGATGTGAGACACTGGGACCACCTTGCCCACACACACCCCTACCTCCACCAGCTTAAGTCTGAAATGAAAACCTCCTTTCCTTACAATCCATTTTCAATGTGGGTCAGGCCACTCTTTCCTTTAGTTAAAAAGACCTAGAGGCCAAAAATACTTCCTTTTGAGGCCGGCTCTGAGTATTGATGCATTTACAGGAAGCCACCAAAGAGATGTAAAATGGGATTATTGCAAAAGACAGCAGTTACAGCACACCATTTCTGCACTGGCTTCCAAAGGGTTTTGCTCACCATAAGGCAGCCTCTGGGCTTCAAGCTAGCATTGTATGAGCTAGACATAAAACACCCCAAGAAAACCCAAGTGCTACAATATCACTTATAAAGATCTTTGCCAGAATCACCTCCGTTACTGGGTCCCTCCTACAAGTCACCTCTGCTCCATCACTCATTCAAGCAGGAAAAAGCCTGTCATGGCTCCTGGGCAGTGTCCTCATGCCAAAGGTCAGCTCCCATCTTGAAATGGGCAACAGAACCTCCAGCCCTGCCTGGCAGGGTGGGACAGGATGGGAGGAATAAGGAACCTCAAAGGCCATGGGGCAGAGCCAGATGTCCCCACCTGACTCCGGCTTAGGTCAGGGGAGCTCAGCTCCTGCTGTTTGGAAAAGTGAATGAAGCCACCAGCCCAGAAAGGCCTGGATTAGCCCTGCAGCTCAATGGCCTTAAAACCAGCTGGGCTGAAATCAATCAATCCCCTTCAGAAACAGAAAGGAAACAGGAAGCCAGCCCAGGAGGAAAGCATTAGAGGGAGTCAGACAGGTTGGGGCTCCATTCAGCCACAGGCTGGCTGGCTTTCAGCAAGGTCCCCTCTCCCATCCAGCTTTGGAAAGGTTCAGAGATTTCGTCATCCATGCAATGTCCCATCCCATAGCTTCCTGCATCTTAGGAGGAAAGCTGGAGCTGATGACATTTCCAGTTGGGCAGCGCTGCTCTGCTCTGGCACAGGGACACAACCGGCTGGGGAGAAGGGAATTTAGCCCAGGCAAACACAGGGATGCAGCACCCAAACCAGAGGCTGCAGCAAACAGGGAGCAGGAAGAACTCCTGAATGCTATCTACCCACAGAGAGGCAGCCTCCTGGAAAGGCATTCCCTCCAGCCAGCAGCTGGGATTTCCTTTGTCCTCTGGCGCCAGAGGATTTCAGCTGCTTTCTTGCAGGAGGTAGATAAAACCATCCCGAGCAGCTGCAATCTTACAATTGAAAAGCATTTCCCCTTCCTGTTGGCTGCTCTGAGCTACCCCTGCAGGCAGGACTTGCTGTGAACCATGCACAGCACCCCTCCCCGCAGCAGGACAGGCTACCTCGCCCCTAGGCTTTGCTAACAGAGGGGTATGCATGCAGGAAGGCTGTGACCCAGCTGCTCCACTCAATACTCCTCCAGCCAGCACATGGGGAAGTGCAGGGCAATTCAAAGCCACTCTCTTGGATGCTCAACTAAGCCCGTTGTCATCCAGATATTGCCCCATGGGAGTCTGCCATCCACAGCAACATGGTTCAGAGCTAAACGGAGCTATCAGTAGCTCTGTGAAACCAAGGGGTACAAAGGAACCACATGGGAATAACAGGCCTTTATGTATCCCCCTGCATCCAGCAGGAACATACAAGAATAGAGAAGGAAAGAAGAGGCAAAAGATGGATTATCTCCCTGCAAGCTTGCCAGCCACAGTAGCGGTGGCAACACTGGCTGCACACTGGGGCTCCCAGCTACCTGCCCTGTGTGCCCAAGGCAGCACCTCCACCATGTACCCTGGGTAATGCATCTCATAACTGAGCTATCACACTCAGGATTTAGTCCCATTTGATGGGCATCCACCCAGCTCCTGTTGCTACAGGCCATGGCACAGCACAGACCCCATCCCAAAACCATGCCTGCAGGGTGCTGGTCCCAGCATAGCCCAGTTACCATTGTGATGCCCAGACTCCAGACATCCGACTTCACGTTGTAGCCCTTCTGGTTCAGCTCAGGGTTTATTCTTTCTGGCTGTAACAGCAAAAGGGAAGGTATTACAATTCTATCTCATCAAACCAGTGCAAACCCCACAGACCAAATGATCCTGCCAAGAAAAGCCTCAGCATCTTCTAGCCAAGAGGGAGCAGCCCTTCCAACCACCACAACCAGCACCAGCCAGTCTTTCACCCTTCTGCAAATGGAAGGAGGCTGCTGTGGGATTAATACAAGCAGCAGGGTTTACAAGGAGGGTAAATCTGTTCTTGGAGTACTTTGCTGAATCAGGAAGCCTTGAGCCCTATCAAGTGGTTTCTTCACAACGGAGATGAACCAAGGCTATTTCGAAGCAGCAGCCTCTTTGAGTCAAGGCTGGAGGCTGCCAGCTCTGGTCCCACGTGAGCACACTTACAGCCATGTAAGGTTTGCAGCCAGCATCCATGGTCTTTGCAACAGAGTCCACCAAGTAGCCGCTGATCCCAAAGTCACACATTTTCACGTGTCCTTCCTTGTTGATCAGCACGTTGGAAGGTTTCACGTCTAAGAGAGAACACAAGAGGGCAGATTGAGCCTTTGCAGAGCTATCACTGAGCCTGACACACGATGGACAATTCCCTCCCTACCTGGGAGGGGACCAGGAAGGCCCTGACACAAGGGAAGGGAAAGAAAAACCCCACCAGCCTCCTATTTCAATAGAAGCTGTTCACAGCTACAACCTTACCCATGCTCCCCAGGCAGAACAGGCCTCCTCTCTAACCAGGCAGGTCAAAAGGTTGGAGTAAAACGAGGAGTTCATGCCCAGCTCCTTAGGAGAGACTTATGTGCCAAAGACAGCCTTAAAAGCCCAACACCCAACTCTACTCAATTCTCAGGACAGCTTGTCTCATGCCCATTGTGATCTGTCCACAACTGCACAAGGAACTCTATCAAGATGAAGAGCAGGACCTGGGTGTTACAATTCCCACCTGTGATTTTATAAGGTCTCCTTCAGCCCTTGCTAGACCACCCAACCAGCAAGGCGTGGGGATGTTGTCCCCAGGAGGCACCTCTGTACTCTAAGATACACAGAGATGCCCATAAAACACAGGTAGTAAGGAATTCTGTTATTGTATTCAACACTTCATCTGGAAAGGAGGAAGAGAACTACATCATGCAAGCAGATGCATGGGGGATACACCTCAGGAACAAGCCTTGGGCATCTCAATTAGTCCACCATCATCCTGAGTACCACTAGACCCCGCTGTAAGCATCCCATAGGGACACACCACACATCTCCTGGAAAGGAGTCCTCAACATAACTTATTTCGAGGTTAGATCTGCTGCAACATCATGTTCACCCCATCCAGCACCTACCTCTATGGATCACAGACAGTTTACTGTGCAGATGCTCCAGAGCTCGTACAATCTGGGGACAAACAGCACCCATTAGTCACATACAGCACCAGCCCCTCCACTGCAAACAGCTACCCATTTCCACACGCCATGGGCCTCAACAGAGGCCTTGGACAGGCGCAGGGGATGCTCAAACCCAGGTAAGAACCCAAGAGGCACTCACAGACACAGCCATTTTCCCCAGAATGTCTTCAGGGATTGTTTTTTTCTTCTCCAATACTTTCTTGTAGAATTTATCCAGGGAGGTGTCCATGAGCTCCATGCAGATCCACACATCACCCTAAGGACAGGGAGAAAGCAGCTGAGAATTCCCTGCAAATCCCCAGGAGCTAAAGGGAGCAGTGGGGAAGGATGGATAAATGGACACTGCCCCATCCACACAGGGCAAGCCACGGTCGCTGCCATGCAGCTGCTGTTGCCACCAGCAGCACACAGGCTCTGTGTTAGATAGCAATGGGCATAGATGCCCTGGTACCAGCACAATTACCTATAATGGCCTCCCTTTGAGGGTCTACCCCACGGAGGGCATTCTTGAGGCAGCTCCCTCAAGACCATGGGGCCATGGACAATACCCTCGGGCATCTGCCACAAGAGTGAGGAATGGGACCTGGTCAATGCTGTCTGAAGGAGGCAAGCCTTTGACCCTTAAGTCATGGCAGCATCTCAGCCCAGCTGGGCTGAAAAGGGAAGGCTGAAGGTGGTTTGGGACAGTTTAGTGCCTTCAGCACAATCACACAGGCCCCAAGTGCTGCACAGCCCCATCAGCCATCCACCAGCTCGGTACCTCGCGGAAGAGGGCTCCATAGAAGGTGACGGTGTAGAAGCAGTCCACTGTCCTCATAGAGATGTCCAAGTCCATCAATAGCCTCTTCTGCTCCTGAGTGTTGACAGTCGCTCGGATCCTCTGAGACAAACAGGAAAGAAGAGGGGATTTATGTTATGGGATAACACCATTATCCCTCAGTCTGACCTAGAGGACCTGAGGCTTTGATGCCAAAGAAGCATCTCATGCTTATTTAGCAGCCAGTAGCACCCAGGAGATACCCAGATTCTTCCAGACAGCACCTCAATGAATGCCAAATCCTTGGCAAGCTCTGCAGCGGATGCAGGACGCAGCCAGCAACCTGGACAGGCTCTCTGACACCCACACTGCACTATCTAACTGCAGGCACCAAGCCTGGATTTCAAAGCCCAGCCCCTTCAACAGCCAAACCACACCAGGAATGCTGGAAGCTGACAAACAAACCCATTCCCACTTTGTTGTGACCAACGGAGCTCAGCTCCGCTCCCTTGGAGCTGCACATCCTGATGTCCAAGCAGCAATCCTCACCTTCACAGCCATGATGGTGCCGCTCTGTGTGTGCCGGACCTTCTCCACCACGCCATAGGCGCCACGGCCCAGCTCTGAAATCGCCACCAGGTCATCAGCTTCCACCTCGAAGTTCTTTAGGGACAGAGACAACAGAATATCAGATAGGAGCACATTTATCAAGGGCATCAGCAAAGGTCCACCACTTGCAGAGCATTCCCAAGTGAGAGGACCTACATGACTATACCGCCAGCTCCTATATGCACCAGAAGCATCACGCTTAGAGAAGATGGGTCCAAACCCTCTCATCTCATCCTCACCAGGGTTCATTTAATCCCCCTTTGCAGCTAGAGATCAGGACCTTCCATCCTTTAAGCCGGGGCACGCTGCCACTGGAAAGGGCACTAAAGGTTGGTGCCTCTCTGCCTGCTTGGGATTACCCACACAAGGGCATGTCTGTGGTAGCTGAACTGCTTGCAGGGTTTGAACAGCTCCTGTATCAACATGGGCAGCAGTCAGGAGCCTCTGCCACAGCCCAAAATCCCTATGTAGAGACTAGGATCCCCCAACTTCACCCCACATCCCAAGAGATCACGGGTCACAAACACACCCGTGTATCTAACACCACTTAGAATGGTGTATGCAGCAACCCAGCAACTCAATTCCTAACTACCAGCGTGTCCAAATGGGTTTGACCACCATCAGAAAGGTAAACCATGAGTTAACACCAACAAAGGAGCTCAGGCAAGTTCAACTATTATGTTTCAAGCTGGAAAAACCCCATTGCCAGCACTGACACAAGCAAATGCCCCACGCAGCAGGGCACCATTGAGCTCCTGAACAAGCTTCCCTAAAGATGTGTTACCCTGCCATTGCCTGTCCTGCTGGGCAGGGCACAGGCTGTGTGCGAGTGAGACATGGGCTATTTTTGGGCTCTGTGTTCATCACCTCCTAATAAGTCACAGAGCTCCTTTTAGCCTGGCTTCACCCAGCCTCCAGTTTTCCTCCGGTCTCAGGGAAACACAAATAATACCAGGATGCCAAACTGCCCCAGTAGCCACAAAGGCAGCGAGGGTGGGAAACACGCGCAGCGCAGCGCCGGATACCGTGCCTGTGAACTACGCCCAGAGCAGGGAGGAAACAGCCTTTGGTGTGAAGGAGCCAAGCTGGAGATGGGGCTGTTGGGCTCCTGGACACTGAGTCCCCTCAATGCTGGCCACAGTGCCCAGCTCCACCGGCCCTGGCTCCAGTTATCCCAGCCAGATGGGGCTGGCAGGCAGCTGAGGCAGGGAGCAAGGGAGGGATGTGCTTGAGCTCAGCACTGAGCTATGTGCTGCCCAGCACAGGAAGGTGCCAGCCCTTTCCTGGGCAGGACAGTGGATCCTGAATTGAGATTAGGGGAAGGGGGACATGTCTGACCCCGCAGGCAGCTGCCAGCTCCCAGCTCCTGCAGGGGCCTCCAGGAAGGATCTTTTCAGGACACGTGCTCTGCAGTTGTTCCACCTTATTGCTCTGGGCTTTTTTCTTTCCCTGGCATTTTCCCTAAGGCTTCCCCAGAAGCTGGCAGCTCCCAGCACACTCCAAGAACTAGCATTGCCCTGCCCAGCAACAGGAGGTGATGCACAGCCAGAGCCAGCGCTCCCCTCCACTGGGAATGGATGTAGGGCATCACCTGCATGGATCAGATGAACCCATCCACAGCCTACAGCTGGCTTCTGCCCAAGCCCTCTTCCTCCATCATGTCCCTTCAAAAACACCCATGCCAGAGCCCTGCACAAACTGGAGCAGGGAAGGAAGTGACCATAGGGAGCTTTCCCCAAGCTACAGCTCTCTCCCCTTGCACACGCCATGCCCAGCCTGCTACAGACAGCTTATCTCCCTGAGCTATTAATACACACGACACAATGGCCAGAAAACAGCATGGGCAGCAGGACTGCTCCCTGGACACAGCCATAGCTTCCTCTCCTCCCCCTTAACCCTAAAACCTTGCACTGAAGCCCAGGGGCCCAGATCCCATCAGCCTGGAAGCAGCTAGCTGGAGGGCTGACCCAGTGCATGGTATTTTTAGCTCAATTACAAACAGGCTTCTGCAGTCCTAGGAGAGCCCATAACAAGAGCATGAAATAAAAGAGAGGCAGTGGCTATTTCTAGCAGTGTTTTTCACCAGGTCACTAGGAAAGGCTCTGGGGAGAAGCTTTATGCCCAGTTTATGGGCAGTAGCAGCCCTGTGGGTATGCAGGACACAGGGGACTTTTAAGCCAGAGCGTGCAGTGAGGCCACACTGATTTAGGGCAGTTGGGTTATAATCCATCCAACCAGCGTGATCTCCCACTATGGGCAAAACTGCACACCTAGCATTCAGTGTCACACACCTGCCTTGCACAGATCTGCTCAGAGGCAAGCCACACAAGCTCCTCAACCATCACTGCTCTCAATACGCACAGACACCCCATCACTCCACGGGGAAAAGGTCCTGCTGTGGGATGTCTTAGTCCTGCAAAGATGCACCCCACAAGACTGCCCCAGGAGGACACTGTCCTTCTCCTGGGGTGCTCTGAAATCCCAGGATCCGATCTGACAGGCTCCATAAAACTCTGCAACCAACACTGGAAGCAAGCAAAGACAGAAGCCAGGTTGACACGTACTTTATCTCCGATGGTAATGAATGCTCTGGAGTCCAGGTTCCTTGGGGGCCTGTAAGGAAAGAGACAGAGTCAGGAGAAAGCCCAACTTCATCAACCCTCTTGGCCAGAGCCAGGTTTCGTGTTCCTTTGAGCCACTGCTTCCCACTGTGCTTTGCTGCCCTGGCTTCAAACCAGTACCCTCCAAACACTCACAAACGCTTTAATCATACCAGTAACACCTCAACCCACACCCACGATCGCTCACAAGCAGTAAGAACCCCAAAGCCTCAGCTAGGTGAGACATGCATCAAACCACCAGGCTATGAAACTACCCCTGCTCAGGAGGCGAGCCTGAGGAACCGAGACCCACGGGATGAGAGCTTCCTGTGGCAGAGCAGCTCGACTGTCATGTTTTGACAGGCAGGTGTTGTAACAGGACAGCCACGTAGCCTGAAACACACGCTGAGGGAACAACAGGTAATGCCTCACCCCTGAGTCATTTGTGTACACTCACAGGCCTGTTTCAGACAGCGTCACAAGCAGGGCAGGCAGCACTTCAGTGTCACAGGCGAAAGTCTTCCTTTATGGCTGTTTTCCTCATCTCTGCCCACTTCCCATTATGGGCAGCACGACTCTTTTTGAGCCAACACAAGCGTTTTGTCCCTTGTGCTTCGCTTCTCTGCTCTCCCCATCCCCTGGGACCTTCTAAAAGTGGAGATTGCCCAACTGATTTTGCCTCTCAATTCCCATCAGAGCAAGCTCCAGCTTCGAGGAAGTACTCTGGGCTCACAGCAAAAGCCTTGCACTGTGCAAATATTTGCACTGCAGCTTGAAAAGCGCAGAGAAAAGGAGTTGGGGATAACTTACACCAGCCTCTGGGCATGCAAGCACACCACAAACTCCAGCAGGAGGCCTTCTACAGGGGGAATTCAAACCGTGAATAGGAGCAGACACACACTGCACCCATGGTGGAAGGAGGGGGCTGTTGCATGCTGTGCTGCACAGCGTTAACAGGGGAGTTCCCTTGGCTCCCCCCTCCAACAGATCTGCCCTATCTACCTGGGGTTTTCAGTAGTGGTATTTCTCCCTTTGGGGATTTCACTGCTCTCCTGCTGCTGGGTGAGCCTCTGCTATGGGAGCAAATGAGGCTCAGCAGTGAAGATGCAGCCCAAGGTGCTTTCAAAGAGCGCAATGGAAGAGGAACTGCAGTCATTTGCTCTTTGTCAAACCAACACAGCTACCCTAGGCTCTCCCCAAACAACTCAAACTAACCCCAATGCACAGGACAGGGGAAGGATGCTGTGCCATGCACAGCATCCCCCAACCCTCACCCCCTGCTCCTGCCGTGGTCCAGCTGCCACCACCTCATCTCTTTCCCTGCACTAAAATCCTTCCCTTCTCCTTCCCTCGGGCAGATTTGCCCTTTGCAGCATATCTTTGCCCTTTGGCATCAACACCATCAGAAACCGACCGTAGCAGAAAGACTGAAGAGAGTCTCAGCCATTTCATATCAGGCACCAAGAGACACGTATGCACATGCGTATGCACACACGTGTATAGGTGTGTAACTCATTCTCATCACCCACTTAAGCTTAAGAGAGTTAACTGCTGATCCTGTGAAGACTTCACAGGCCACTGCCCTTGAGACAGCACTGAGCTCAGCTCTGCAGACCCACTTTGAGCAGCAGACACACTTACGTTGTGTTGGCAACAGGCTGTTTGATGGGGACACATGTTATCCTCAGTTCCCCTTTCTTCCTGCTTTTCACTGGAAGAGAAAGCACACACGTGAGCAATGGGCTTTTTTCATTTCCTTCCTTCAAGCTTTTTACTCTTTCCCCTTCACGGCCGTTACAGTCCCCTCTCTTGGGGCATTCTAATTGCTGATGTTCAGAAGATGGGTTAAAGCTGTGATTCCTGTTGGCACTTACCCGGTTTGTGTGGCTCCAATCCTTTGGAATCTGAAAGAGAGAGAAGAGAAACACCAGCTCAGCTTCCATGCTCCGGATAAGCCGGGTACCACCTTGGTATTCCTTAGGGCCCCATGCATGGCCCAGGGGAGCCCTCCCAGCCACGCTGCAGGCAGAGGGATGCAGACGGTGCCGGAGCCCAGCCAAGCCTGGCCCGATCCCCGTTTCTCCAGCCACAAGAGGTCCCCATGCCATTAGTGATGCACAGGGCTCCCAAAAAACCACTCCCTGTCTACCTCCTCCTTGCCCTTCAGACCCTCAGCCCTCACCCAAGCTTCTTGGGAAGAGCCAGACCCATTCTGCAGTATGGGTTGGAACTGGCACATAGGGCAATGTCCATCAGACCTCAAGCTAAATCAAGGAGTTAGTCCCAACAGGAGAGCAAATACCCCCCATGCAACGAAGGGAAACCAGGATGAAACCAGTCAGGAGCTGACTGCAAGAACCAGCAGTGAATCAGCCACAAATTGAGCTTGCAGTGGCTGAGATGCCACCAGACAAGGCAGGACCCCATCCAAAGCGAGAGGATGCTCTCTTCCTGCTCCTCTCCAACTGCGAACAGCACTGAGATAACATAACCCATTGCCACAGAGGGAAACGGGGTTCAAGCAGGTCCAGGGCAGGCCAAACACTTGCAGAGACAAGAGGCAACCAACATGGGAGGCCAGTGAGCAGAGGAGACCTGTGCAGGGCTCAGAATCAGCTCCTTGCAGTGGCACCGACCCCAGGCTGCTCACTGAAGTCCCAGCCATTCCTCCCTCAGCAAACAGCTCACCCACTGACCCCAGCTCACCAGGACCACGAGGGACTGGGATGGGGGATGAAGTGATAGAGCTGAGAGCATCAAAGCCCTGATCCCCCCAAGACAGACAAGGGGGTGACTGCACTTTGCAGCTAAGGACACTTCTGGCCGCACAGACCTGGAGGATGCATTAAAAAAGCATGAAGAAGAAGGCGTGCTCCAGGCACCAGGCTGGGAGCAAGCACCTCAGCTCGGCCTTGGACAGCCCTTTGGAAAGGCTCCTACCTGCCTGGCTCCTGGGAAGAGTCATGAGGACAAAGTCCAGCACTGGAAGGCTGCTGGGAAAGGGAAGGGAGAGGCGAGGAGCTGGGATTTCAGCAGGAGATGCAGCAGCAGTGAGACAGGAGGGTGATACCTGCCCAACACATTGCCTGTACAGATAGCCTCCATCCCCATTCCCCCTCCCCAGTTCCAGATGCCTCAGATAAGATGGGTGCCTAAACCCTGTCCTTCCCCATATTCAAACCTCGCTGAGGTTGCATGTGAAACAACTGGTCTGCAAGACACTGCAAAGGTCCCAACTGTGGACCAGCAGCATCCCTCCCTGCTAAGGATCAGTCGATCAGCATGGATCAGTCAATATCCCCATCTTACCCACCACCTTTCTGGTTTAGCATCAGTGCAGGTCCCATGAGCTATGGGAGCAATGTGAACTTCCAGCTCAGTGAAACCAGGCACCAAACCTTCCCTGCTTGGCTGGAAACCTCCTCTGGATACCTGACCGTGCCACAGCTTCCAATGCATAAGCCTGGAAAGCTTCCCTTCCCCATCTCCCCAAGCCAGCAGGGCTGGAAGGGGGACTATCAATGGCCACAGATGACGCTTTGCAAAATAACCTGGTTGAGCAACAAGGGCAGCAAACGCAAACCAGAGCCAAAGAAAAGATGCCATCCATAGGTTCCGAAATGCCTCCCCTTCCCACACCCAGCTGCTTGCTACTCAGTGAGGGAGGCTGACCACAGAACCTGAAAACCGGGCTTCTCAGAGTTCTTCTGCACCCAGGCAAGGTGGGGAGCTCATTGTGGGCACACATCCCATCCTATCCATGGGGATAGATTGAGCTCACTGGTGACCAGGAGCTTTGCACCGAGTGCTTCTCCCCCATGACCTGCTCTGAAACAGCTTGCACGCAGCATCCCCAAGCAGTGACCAGCCCCAGCTCTACAAGAAGCCCTGAAATGCCCCCGAAATGCTTCATCTGCTTGCTCTCCCTCTCCCCAATCGCTATAGTAACCCCACACAGGCAGCACAAAGCTCCTTCTGTGCCACCGGATCGGCTGGCAGCGCTGTGACTCACACAGCAGGACCAGGGTCCACTTGCTCCTCATGCCATGCATCCTGCAGCATCAGCCCTGGCTGCAAGAGCAGGGCCTGAGGGAGCTGGGAGCACCCAGCCTGGGGTCAGGAATCAATGGGATACGTTGTTCAGTGGAGGCCAAGCTCCAAATCCAAGGAGGATTTGCAAGGATGGGCTCAGAACGGCAGCAGGGACATGGGGATTCCCTATTGCACACCCTCTGCAGTCACTTAATGCCTCTGTGCGCTGGTCATCTGCTTCAATAGGGACCCTGCACATCATTCCACTTCCCTGCATCCCCAAACTGCTGCCCTTGACTTCCCAGCCGGGGTTAGCAATGATCCCCCCTTCCCACTCCATCCTGCTGAGCCCCCAGAAGCATTTCCTAAGCTCCAACCTGGAAAAGCACAGATTAAACAGGAGGCATCCTGTCACCACTCCCAGGCTCTGGCTGGGCCACCCACACCAGTGGAAAATCCAGCTCAGCCCCTGCCTGCAGGAATAAAATCACCCACGATGCTGCCCTGCAATGGGGGAAGGAACCGATGCAGAGACTGGTACAGCTCTCCCCAAATTTGCCCCAAGTTTTCCAGCACACTCCAGGCTGGTCCCAGTTCCTGCCTCCTGCTGCGAGCTTCTGCTGCCTGCAGGAAGCAGTGGGATGAGCATGAGGAGCCCTTGCAACCCAAGCCCTTCAGTCCCAAACACATCCCAGGGCAGCATTTGCTTTTAGCCCCCGCAAGCAGCTGCTGTCAGCTCCTTCTCAACAGCAAGACCTCAGCACCATCTCTCCCACACTTGGATCCCAATGGGGTCAGTGCAGGAGGATGGTTTATGTCAGCTGAAAACCCTAGAAACACCCCAGTTTGTTGCAAAAGGGGTGGCTGCAAGCATAGAGCAACACAGCTCCCCTCTAGAGATCCCTCCACGTGGGGACAAAGAGCAGCAATGTGGGGACACATCCCTGTTACCTCCTGCAAGCCCCAGGGCCCTGCTGCCAGCCCTGAGCTCATGGGATAGCTGGGAGCTGCTGGTGTAGCATTCCGGGCAGGGGAAGGGGCTGCTGGCTGTAGGGGCACGAGGCACAGCGCCTTGCACCCGAGCAGGGCAAGATTAGCTGACAGAAGTTCCTGGTGCGGCCCAGATTGTAACCCACGTGATGCTGCAGGCACGTAACGGCATCCTTTATGCTAAGAAAGGAACCATTTCCTCCTAAAGAGAGAAGAAAAAGCCTCCCAATTCTTTTTCTTACCTCAAACCAGCCCCAAAGCTGACACACATTTCCTGGAACTGCTTAATTCAATCTGAATCCTCATCTTGGCCACCGCCAACTTCACGTCCTATGAAGCTGCACCTCTCCCCATAGGGTTTATCCTTCCCACTCTGCTGGCGTGGGTGGGAAGAAAGGAAGAGGACAATCTAAAGGACTGCAAACACAACTATTTGCCTGAGCCGACCTTTGAAATGAAACCTCTCCACTGCCTCCCCAAGGCGCTGGTGCCAGCCCCAGACTGAAGTCCTGCAGCACTGGAGGCAGCTTTGTTAGCGCTGGGGAGGATGTTTGGGATGCATCCCGGTTCTCCCTGATGCAAGGAGAAGGGTTAAATGCCAGGGATAGGGCAGGAGGGTGGATCCCAGCCCTGCTGCAAAGAAAGAGCTGGAACAAAAAAGCATAAAGGAAAAAAAGCAAGGCATTGGAGGCAGGGTGCAAAGAAGGGGAATTGGGTTGCTCGGGTCCTAAGAGCCAGCTCCTCACAGGCGCACTTAGTGCTGTTTTCCATTGTTGAGAGTGGAAAAAGCTTATCTGTGCAAGTGGAAAACGGGCTCTCAACCTGCCCGGAGCCATCACTCATCGGTGCCGCTGCAGGGGGGGGTTCCTGCAGGTCACCACCACCCCATGCACGGCGCTTCTGCAAAAGGAGGAGGAAAAAACCACGCTCCACAAAAAGCCCCTCGCAGCCCCAACCCAACCTGAATCAGCATGGGCTGAATCACGGCTCCCGACTGCCCCAGCCCCTGTGGGCACTCGCCTTCCCCATGCAACAGGCTTTATAGCAAGGGACGACCATGCAAGAGCTGCTTGGAAAGCCCTTGGGTCCCAGGAATGCAACCAAAACCGGAGCCAGGAGCAAGCTTTACTCTCCACATACTCTTCCTGAAGCCATGCTGGATTTTATTGTGTTCCCAATGAAGATGCTGATGTTTTACCCCCCACAAAACATGCAAGTTGCCAGTGCTTTAAAAATAGATCCCTGCCTGCAAACGCCAACCCCCTGCCCGAGCGAGGAGAAAGAAGCTAAAACCACATTAATTGAGCCCAAAAAGTCACAGAGCCCCTTCTAGGAGCAGAACCAGCCCTTCACTCTCCCCCACCACGTGTGTTGGTAATCGCAACATCTACCTTGCTTCTTGTCCATGGTTTCCCAGAACTGGAGGAAGCGACGCCTGGTGAAAGAGAGGGATGAGGGTGGAATGGAGGAGGGAGGGGATAAAGAAATCCCACAGGATCCAGCACAGGGCAACTGTGATTTTCAGTGGGAATGCATGGCCTGAAGCGCCCGGCAGCGTCACGGAGCGCTCCTTGTCCGGTATCCCTGGATCCTTGGGGTCCAGGAGCTGCAGCGAAGGCAAACGGGGGGACACAGGGCAGGCAGTGCCGTGTTCCCTATCGGCAGCTGCAGAGCCTGGCCGGGCTCTGGGCTCCGGTTACCCTTGAAAGCTCAACAGTTGTAAAAACTGCAGCAGTGAAATAGCAGCTGACGTCAACAGGAAACTGGGGGGGAGCCAGCTCCAGCTCCGGGAGCCACCGAAGCGCTGGATTGCTACAGCGCATCCCGGTGGGATGCCTCCTCATCCCGTGATCCAATCGTTCAAACCCAGTCTGCAAGCAGA